ACTGGACAATATGACAAAAACTATAAGAATGTTAAATATGGGTTTTAATATTGAGCAATTAGTTTGATGAAGTTGAATATGGATTCTAAACTTGAAAAGTTGATTAAATTCTTAATGAATGAACCTGAAAAAGAAGTTGAAGTTGTTGATGATGACTCTGAAGACAATAATGCACCTGAAAATGTTACATCTGATAATAATACATCTGATGGTGATACTTTTGCAAGTAGAGGAACTAATGAAGAGAATGAGGAATCTAGCTCTAATGAGGATGGTGATCCTGGTGCTGCTGTTGCATAAAGGCTGCAATTTTATTTTGTTTTTTTGGTTGTTTCAATTGTTTTTTTGGTTTATGTTTTTGTAAGAGTAAAATGTCCAGGATATTTATAATTTTTTCACCCTGATACTTAAACTTTAGGTGCTTAAATTTTTACTAGTATTATCTACTTACCTTTGTCATATTATGGCTAAAAAGGAGTAGTAGTATGATATTAAGGGTGTTGGAGTTGCCACTAGCTGGTGCTACTGTTGAGGGGGAGAATTTAATATTTTTGTGATAGCAGGTATTGAGGGGGAGTTCCTGCTGTTTTGAAAAGATGTCAGACATGATGTCTTGACATCATGGTGTTTAGAACTGAGGTTCTCTATTTTTGTTACAATTGTGTTAGTAGATCAACTAACTACTAACTATCTAATTTGTGTGTTGTTCATTTCTGTGTTGTTAACCTTGCATATGTTTTTCTGTTGTTGTACCTCTGATGTGTATGTTTGATTTATTTTCAAGTATATCTTATTGTGCAAGGGTTATTTGGGTTTTTTAACCAAAATATGACAAAGTGGGAGATTGTTATTTCTCTGAAATTATGATTGGCATATATTTTAGTAAAACCAACTTGGCAATAACATGTTGAACAAGATATTCTAACTTTCAGTTTTTAACATGTCGAGTAAGATGTCCCAACAAGGAGATAGGACATCGTGTCTGCAACAACTTATAGTTATGGTTCAATTGATTTGTTAGCTACTGAATATTCAGAGAATATTCAGTTAGCTTATGTGGCGTCCAAGATTGAAAAATCAGAATATTTTATGTTGGTTTTCGAAGATATGCTTAGTTTTTAAATATGGAGACATTTTAGGAAACTAATGATTGAAGACCTATTTTCATGGAGAAGATTTTGCAAACTTTGTGCAGCCTCACTACTGTGATTTTGAAGTCCAATCCAATCCAGAATAATGTTATAAATAGACTGATGTATACTTAATATTAGGTGGAACTTACGTGTGTATTTTTGTTAGATATTTTAGAATCCTTATTATTGGGATATAAGTTCTATGTCAGATGTTCATAAGCTTTTAAGCATTGAAAATTTGTGTGTCAGATGCTCATAAGTTATTAAGCATTGAGTATTTGTGTGTCAATTCTCATAAGCTTTTAAGTATTGAGTTTTGTGTGTCTTAGAAGAGTGACTTCCAGTTCTGTTATCTACTTGTGTTTAGAGTTGCTCTAATTGTTGATTGTAATTGAAGAGGGATTTGAAGAGGGCCTCATACTTAAATGTGTCTTAAGTAGAAGTTAAGTAAAGGGTAGTGATTAAGTATGTAGGTTGTAAACTGGGATATTTGTTGTGAGGTCTATAAATTGATATTGTCTAGTTAATTTTGTCTGACTTGGTAGCCCCCAGAGTAGGAAAGTTGTTCCGAACTGGATAAACATATCATGTGTTATTTACTTTCAGCACTCTTTATTTTGACCATACATCTTGTTGTTGCGTCTGAAGTCGAATCCGGTGTCTCGATATCTCTTAGGACATCCGGGATTTGATAGCCATAATTTCACTTACTTTACTTTTTCTAATCAGGTAAACATGAAAGGAGATTTTCCGTTGCCACCAAACACGTTAAATTGGAAGAAATTTTGTTCTCCAATTGCAACATCTTGAATGTTAATATTTGCAGGATGTCTACAACTTTGGCAACAACTTACGTATGTATTACCATCTTGTGTTAGCTTAGCATAAATATACTATGTAATTGAGTATTTAAATACGTAACCAAAATACGAATATGATACTATGTCATTGAGTTTTAATATAAGTCTAAAACATAAGTCTAAAAGATGAGTCTTAAAGTTAATACATATGAAACATAAGTCTAAAAGAAACATAAATCAATGCGAACGAGAAATCTATACAGCTTTAAATAAATCAATAAATTGTGGGTCATCCTTGTCAGTATCAACTTGTCGGAGATAACGATGAAGCAAAGTGGAAACACGAATCTAACTCGGGTCGAATGGTCTTGCTTCGTAAGTAGGAACTGACTGAATCATAAATATCGAACAATATGATGCTTGCAGGACCGTCTCAACCAATATTGAAGCCTAAAGCGTATTCTAAGAATGAGCCTTTAGAAAATTAAAAATTTTATATAAAATTTAAATAAATTTTATTTTTTAGGCTTCTTGAGATGCAAAAACGTTTATTAAATTATCATAATCGATTTTTTTCTAAAATTTAGTTTTCAATAGATAATAAAGTCAACACATTTAATCTTTACTAAGACATTGTTAATCTTAAATGTGATTTTATTAATTTTAATTTTGAAAAATTAAGTTCCACAAAAGTAATACTTACAGAAATTTTTTAATATTATTTTATAAACAATATATGCATTTAGAAAAGACTGAATTCTTTTTACATAATTAAGTATGTCAATTTGTTCAAACCTATTTTAAAATGAAGTCATTGTTGTATGTATTATGCATAAAGATTTAACAACTCCATTATCAATATTCTCATCAAAATTATTTCATTCTACTAAAACTTTGTTGTACGAAATTTGGATACTCTATTAATTTTAAAAGCAATTTATTGAGCAGAAATGGATGTAATTTCAAAACCATGTTCCCTATATTTTTCAAAAAATGTAATTAGATCAATTGTTCTATTGAAACATTAATATACATATCTTTAAATTGAAAATTTTTACTAACTGAAATTACTGCAAACAATATCCCATATCAAATAATCATACCTAACAAAAACTCAAAATTTTCAAGATTATAAGTCGTTAAACATTCAACTTCACTCTTTATTTTAAGTTTGTCATTAAGTTCTCCTAATTTCAATAAAACATCTCTTATTTATAAAGTTTGAAAGCTCAAAGGTTTTACACTTTCAATACGTCTTTCTCATTAAATTTGTGACAGATCTTGTAGAATTTTTTATCTTTTAGTAGAAAAAGAAAATATTGTATATATTCGTTGTAGCACTCCAAAAGAGATGTAGATTTAAGACAACAATTAGTCATGTCACAAAATACTAAATTTAGACTACGATGACCACACGGAGTATAAAATAATCTAAAATTAATGTCTAAAATTTTTTTTTACACATCTTGATATTTTCCTTTCATATTAGACTCATTATCATAATCTTGTCCTTTTATGTTACTACTATTAAGTCCAATAGTATTCATTTCATTTATAGACGACCCTGAATGCTCGTACTTTACTAGAAAAAACATATCGGTCGATCCTTCTGAAAAGTCAACTGATTGTGAAATAGATACAAATACACCAATATGTTCTTTCTCTCATGTCAACCTATGTAAAACGTCTCGTCCTAAACTACAAACTGAAATCCTACCGTCTCTGCCTCGTGTTCGTGTCAATGTTAAAATAACAAAAAATACATAAAAAATAAATAAAAATAAATACACAAACCGGAACATATTTTAAAAGAAGAGTTTTGAAATAACAGAGTGAAAAATAACCGAAATACATTTTGAAAGAATTCCGGTATGTAAACTTCACAAACCAGAAGAGTTTCATAAAGTGTTCCAGAACAAAACCAAAAGACTGAGAAAAAGTATTTCGGTTTAAAGCACTCACTTGATTTGTTCTGGTGTGTTGTTTCTAAACCAGAAGTTGGAAAAATGTTCTGGTTTAAAAGTTTTTTTTTTTGTATAAATCAGAAAAGTTTTGATGCGTGGGGTGGAAAAGTAAATTTTTTTTGAAATATTACCTATTTATGAGTATTTTGGTCCCAAAAAATTTAATGTTGAGATATGGAAATAAAAGAAAAGTAATGATACACTTTACCCCGTCAATCAATCACAGTCTTATATCAGAATAAATCACATTTTAATTTTAAAATTAAAAATAATGACAAAACAGTTTGTGACTTTATGTTGAATAAATAGTGTAAAATAATTTTAGATTTTCATTGCATATAAGTTAAACCCTGAGGATAATTGATAGAGAATGAGGTAAAAAAAATTCAATTTAGTTGTATGATTAAAAGGTCGACCATTGCAGCAATCACTTATACAACCTGCGCCCTGAGCTTAGTCGCTCATTTTTTTAGTACAATAACGCATCATACCACAACACTTGAAAATGTGTGAAAGCATACCAAGTAGTGTTTAGCCTCCAGTGAAATCAATCAATAATTTTTTTTTACAAGTTTCGTATCTAAGGATGTAACAAAGTAAAATTGTAATTATATGTGCACTCAGCAATTGACTTTGGTACTGACCTTACACTGTTACACATTGCATGACGTTAGATTCACAATTTTAGGAAAGCAGATGTTCCACAAATGCAGTTCTCTGTTCAAAACTTTTTTCAAAATAGGAAACTACATTTCTGTTACAAACTTTAATAGCCCAAAATTTACTAAAGTGATGTTTGAATGGATAGAACGGAGTGAAACAGAGTGGAATGGATCAGATATTTCATTCCATTGTGTGTATTTTTGTTAATGGAACGTAACTAATCCAAGCAGAGTGTAATGGAACATAACTAATTAGTTCATCTAGTTGCATACACACCTAATTCTGCTCCATCCATTATTTGCAAATCCAAACAGTGGTATCTGATTACTTACCGCTCCACTCATCACATATCACCAATCCAAACATACCTTTAGCTGCTAAAGCTACTGTATATGCCCGTTTTACAATAATGGAATCATATCATCCTATACAACATACTCTCAATCATCAGCTGAAGACAACTTTTGCTTCTTCCATTTGTAAGCAGCTTCCAAGATCTTGAGATTGGTTGTCTGAGTTTCCTCAGGGAACAAATAGTCGATAAATTCTTCAATTCTGCAAATCAAGTTGAGAAGAATGAAGTGGGAAAAAAGACATCACAAAAATTTGTTTACATATTTAACAGCAATACCATCATATAGTCAACAAGCCTAATGCGAACAATGCCAGTGAATAGCAGTGACTACATTGCAAATGATGCCATATAAACTAACCCTTGTAAACCATTCAAAGACCAACAATGAAATAGTTCCGTACCTAGAAGAGCCATCTTCAGTAGAAATTTGCCTTCTCTTCTTGAGCTTCTTGGGTAGCTTAGATTGGACTAAGCTAACATCACCTAGCTCCCCAGATGAAGCCTCCAAGTTGAGCCATTTCTCCAATAGCATTGCCCTTTCTTCTTTTAAATCTGGAGCTGATGATCTGAAGTAGTTTAGAGCTTCCTCGAACACCCCTAATACAGGCATAAAACAAAATATAGAGAATTAGAAAATTATTATGCTGCAGTCAAACTTAAAATTATGATTTATAGCATATGAACGTAATGTTGGGATGACATACTTCTGGCACGCTTAATGCATTGCTCCTTTTGCTCTTGTTCTGATAAGTCTAAACTCTCATCAATAGCTGTTGCTTCAAACTCTGCATAACTTATCCATACCTTCAAGTGCTTTGTTCGATCAAGAAGCCTTTCATAAAGCACTCTAGCTTTCTCGAATTCACACTCAGCAGTTTCAAAGTCAATGTATGCCTGTCATATTCACAATTTTATAGTTAGGTTATGAACAGCATGTAAATAGGTTTCTTGGACATGGTATGCACCCGAGAGTGGCAATCAAAGAGAAAGAAAAAGGACAACATAGCAACAGAAGACAGAGGTCATCAAAACTTGGGCATAACTATATTTGATGCTTTCGCAAGACAGAGATGCTTTGGGAGGGGGTGGGAGTGGATTTGGTAACAAGTGCTAAGTTGGCAAGTTAGTTAAACCATGCAGCATTAGTGGGGAGAGGTGAAGGATAGGAAATTAGCAGAGGAAAGTGTATAGTTTTTGACATCTATTTTGGTGATACATTTGAGATTTAGCTCTTGTACAATAAGTAAATAAATTTTATGTGTACCTTCCACAACAACTCAGGCATATCCAATGCTGGTTGAGCAATTGCAAGCTCAAAAATTGCTCTAGCTCGCTCAGTCTCAGCTAAAGATCTCTCCAATTCTGCATACTTGCTCCATGCATAGCAATTTTCAGGTGACCACTCTAGATACTTTTCATACAGTTTTCTGCATCGATCTATATTACCAAGCTGCAGTTCTATCTCTATGTATTTCTTAAATATCTGTTGTCAAAAAAAAAAGGTGCATGTGAGGCTAACCATGCAGCAATGAACATATGCTATATAATACTCTTTCATCTAGATAGAAATTAGTGCATTACCTTATCTTTAGGCGCCTTTCCAATAGCATTTCCTAATATTTGACGAGCCCCCTTGAGATTCAGCTGACGTATTTCAAACTGGGCTGCTAGAAGCCATACCTTAGCAAATGAGAACTTCTGGTGAGGTATTTGGGTGAGACACTCCCTAAAGAAATGAAAGTCAGAGAGAATGAAATTAGTAATACTGCAATGATAAATTTATTAGTTTTTTTATGTAATTTAGTAAAGGATGGTGTTAGAACTGGACCACAAAAGGTAAAAAAAAAATTTTTAAAAAAAAAACAGTAAGTCAAAGGACAGATATAACGAAGCAGAACCAAACGGGTGCTTGAAGAATCTAGAGGAAAGAAGTGGTGATATAACTGAACCAGAAAAGGTGAAACATCAGCTGAGTCAAAAATAAATAATCTGAATCAAATGTGAGTATGACTGAAAAACCAAGAGGAAAAAAGTAGTACGAAAAGTCAAAATATATCTCTATCTCTATAATATATCTTAGAATGTGTGGGTTGGACCTAACTCAATCCTACAAAACCGGCTTGTAAGGTGAGGACTGCCCCCACTTATAAACACATGTTCAGGCCCTATATTGTCCGATGTGGGACTCTTAACACTCCCTCTCACGCCCTGGAACTGGGGCTGGAGCGTGGAAATAAATGGTGAGTGGCCCAATGGATCTTAGATGAGACTCTGATCCGTGTCTTTTGAAAGCACTGCGGAGACTTTATTTAGAGATTACAACTAATTACATGATATAATCGATGTGGGACTATTCTACATACAAATATTCTTAACACTATATATTTATAAATATCAACAATATACACCAAAAGCTCACACAAAAAGCAACATTTTACTAGTGCCAAACAAACACGAGCCATCCTTCAATTACACCACCAAATTTTAGCTAAAAGACGTATTAAAGAAACAAAGTAAAAACAAAGGTTGTGACCTAGGTTTCTCCAATATACCTCACGATAAATATTTTCATTTGAATAAATGTAGAACCCTTACTCCTAACCTCCTCTTTGATCATGTGTTGGTATTTATTTTCATTTTTGTACATTCATTGATTCTTATAGCACATCCTTTCATATATTTTTTTCTACCCGACGAAAGGAAACATGTGGTTTTTCTAACAGATCATTTGCTTTGAGCTAGACATTCTACACAAGACTATATCAAATTACATATTCAGTGTTCAACATAAAAACTAGTAGACAACAGGAGTTGCAGTGCGTGGAAAACTAGTAGACACTGTTACCTAACAGACCCTAACTTTCTACAAACAAAAACAAGGTAGACAAAAGGAGTTGCGGTGCATGGAAGCCTTAGAGAATCAATATGGCATAAATTTAGGAAAATATTATAATTCTTATCATTGATATAAGAAGCTTGCAATGACTTCAAAGTAAAATATGAAATATGATTATCATACTAATGAGATTACCAGCAAAGATCGACATAGCAAATCTACATATGAATGATAAATCCAGGAAAAACATGCACAAAAAGCAACTCATATCATCATTTAAGTATCACAATGTAAACACGGGATTTGGGAGCTCATAAAAGGCTGCTTACCTGTACACATCTCTTGTTCGCTCCATATCTCCGGCATCAAGCTCTTCATAGAGTGCATAATTAATCCTAAGTTGTACACGCCAATAATAAGCATCGAGAAAATGCAAAATAACTAAATAAATAAACAACTAGATGGGAAAACAGGATTCAAATCAAACATACCACAAATAAATATAGCGTTGCCAGTATCGTTTCTCCTCGGCTGGTGGAACATTAGCTATAGCTCTCTCATAAACCTCCCTAGTTCTTCCCTTATTCCCCACACTCTCTTCCAATCTTATATAGTCAAACCAAGAATCATAATTCAAAGGATTTTTCCTCACTTCATCTTCATATTGAAACCTCCTCTTCCCAACAATAGCATCCTCAATCCCCTCCCTATCACCATACTGCTTTTCAAATGCCACAAACTTACGATATAAGTCTTCAGCCCTCGCCTTCGGAATATGATCAAGCGCAAACTTATAAATACACCTTGCACGCTCAGCCTCCTTGCACCTTTCCTCAAACTCAGCAAACGCCACAAAAAGCTGCTCGGCTTCCTCATCATCAGCAAGCCTCTCCACCGCTCTTTCATAAACATTTCTCGACCTAGGAACCTCACCATTCTTCATCTCAAACTTGGCGTAGCGTATCCAAGCACCAACCCTAGGGTGACACAGAACAAACCGCTCAAAAATCCCTCTCGCCCGTTCAATTTCATTATATCTAAGCTCAAATTTGATATAAGATAACCATCCTTGCTGATCCGGCATCCATTTCATCCACCTCTCAAAAACCTGCCTCGCACCAGCAACATTCCCAAGCACCTCCTCCATATGAATATACTTATACCACAACTGATCGACTCGAGGCAAAAGAGTAACAGCGCGATCCCAAACATTCCTAGCATGATTAATAAACTTATTCTTCATTTCAACCTCAGCGTATTTCAACCATAGCGTATGATTCTTGTAATCAACTTCCAATGCTCTCTCCCAAACAGAACGTGCACGTTTAAAGTCTTTCTGCGACTCTTCCCACTGTGCATACTTTATCCAAACACTCACATTCCATCGAACTCGGCGGATTAAATCTTCGAATTCCTTTCGCTTGCGGAGACGATACTCACCAAGTTCTGTGGGATCAGTGATTTTCTGCTTGGGAGGACGGATCTCAGCCTCCTGACGCTCCCTAGCTTCGCGAAGAATTTGCTCGGCTGTGATTTGAATTGGAGCGGGGGTTTTGTTCTTAACCCTAGTTGGTCGAGGTAGTTTCACCTCTGTATCCTTTCTAGTGAGATAACCCAAGCTAGGGTCTGCATCTTTGGAAGAAGACATCTGGTGACGATGCTGTTATGAAATTTCTACAAAGACCTACAAAAAATTACAGTAAGGCAATCTGTGACGCGCTGAGATGAAGAAGACGAATGTGAGGGATTAAGGTGAAGATGCTGTGATGAAATTTCTACTAAGACCTACGAAAAATTACAATCCAAACTCAATTCATGATAGCAAATAAGCTTAAATAATTCAATCCAAATTTCAATCATATAATCACTTCTTCACAAAAAAGTAATTAATTTAACTGATATCCTCATCAAATCTGAACAAATGAGAAAAGGGAATTCTCAAAACTAGTTAATATATTCTACAACTAATATGGAAGGAAAAGAAAAGAAAAAACTTCAAATAGCAAAAGGGGTTATTGTTGAATTGCCCAAAAACAAAAAATTCAGTTGTTTAAAATAAGCTTCCATGGTATTTTTAAGCTTTCTTATTGGTTTATCAGGGAGACAGACTTAGCAATAACTTTTATCAGTATTCCCAAGCCACCAACATTATTAAGAATAAAACCCTGCAACATGCTAAGTTGGTTAGAATGCATTTTCATGATCGTTTGGTTGGTGTATAAATCAATAAACCAATAATTTTGTGTACTGTGGTTTCACATTAATTACCATATTTACGTGTTTAATGTTTTGAGTAGCATTTCAACATGAAACAAAAAATGTCAATTGGCATTTAACTTGTTTTGAAGCTACATAGCAATATGTCTAACAAGTAAGCTAACAATATTTTGTATTCTCAAGCTCAAGCTCAAACTCAAACTTTCTTCTGTTTTAACATAAATGTCTCACACACAACAAAGTTCATGCATATAAATTTTTGCAGTATAACAAACCTATGTGGGAAGTTTACTATTCATTGGTAGAAGAGATGGTACACTATCAAAAAGTTGTGAAACCTTGGCCAATATCCCAAAACTTACTTTTAACTTTTACTCAACTCAAACAAAACTTGGCAAGTAAAATATACACAGAACAAACAAAGTCCCAATTCAAATTCAAACAAATAAGAATAAAATGGCAACATATTACTTAGGAGGTAAAATTTCTATTAAAGAAAACTCCATCGTTACGGACAACAGCGCAAGTATTTTATATCACAAGAACCATAAGCGACATAATTTTTTGTATCGTAATGCAATTGATTAAAGTAACAACCCTTAATACTAGAAAAGTCACAATTTCAACACCAAAATAAAAACCCTAAGAATCAAAATATCCATAGAGAGGAGGAAGATGAACTTACATAAAAAAAGAGGAGAGTGAGAGTCGGAGTTAGAGAAAGCAGAACCACTGGGGACGACGGCTCCGCCACTGGTAAGGTAATCCGTGACGCGCTGAGATGAAGAAGACGAAAATGGCTATTAGGATTTTTGAGGGAAGGGGAAAGAGAGAAGAATCGTATTTGGGGAGAAATTAACCTATAACTATAAGTTATATCTCGCACCCCAAAATGGTACCAAAAAAACAAAATAGTTCGTTTCAAGTTTTTCATCATTTTACAAAATTTTGAGCAAAAGAATAGTATTTTTTGAAATTTTATAGTGGTACCGGAAATTTTTATACAAAAGTAAGAATTTTGGTATATTTGAGAAAATTATGATGTAATTTGAGAAATTTTAAAATTTTTAGGAGAAATTTAAGGGAATTTTAATATTTTTGGTATTTTTATTGAAAATTTTAAAATTTTCAAAGTTTTCGTAGTATTTTGTAATGGAAAATTTGAAATTTTCGGTAGTTCATTTTTTAAACTAATTTTCTTTTTGCCTATTTTCATTTTTTTCAGTGAGGACATGGGGTAAGGACGGTTCGAGACATGTTGACTGATAGAGTCGAAGCTCAACCCATGGCTAATGAGGCAGATGCTTCCCAACTACAGTTGGACGACGTCCTCTGATTGATTCGCATCAGAAACGGATGGCTGAGCAAGCGCAGTTTTGCGCACCTCGACACCGAGGTGATAGAGATTTTGTGGTTGTTGTTGAGGAGGTGCCTGTTCATGTGGTTGTTGTTGTGGAGGTACATGTGCATGTAGTTGAGGAGGTACATGCACCCGTTGTGGCTGAGGAGGTTGTTATGGAGGAGGTTCCTGTGGAGAAGGTAGTTGTTGAGGAGGCACATGTGGCGGCTGAGAAGGTTATTATGGAGGAGGTAGCTGATGAGGTGTCTCCTACTGATACAGACACCATGATTTGTGCGTCTACAAAGCCATCAATTTACACTAATTGAGCCTTTTTAGGAGGACCTGCTGACGTGTCTATGCTCACAGGGTATGTTGACCATGTGACATACAAAGATGGCAGGGCGAGGTATATATGTTATATTTTTTTATTAAAAATTATTTATTATGGCTCGATCAAGTGTTGAAACTTTATTGATTTTTTTTAAACTTTGTTTCTTATAGGAGCGTCTTACGCTAAAGGTTGCATTCCATGGTTCGAACTTGAAGAACTTCTTAGAGGGTCTGATGCCTGAGCAGGTTAGACGTATTATTTCTGATTTTAACCTGTTAAAGTTCGTCGAGTGCTCACTAACCATGCTTGACACCTCCCTTCTGTCAGCATTTGTTGAGTGGTGGCATCCAGAGACATCATCCTTTCATCTTTTGTTTAGGGAGATGACTACCACATTAGATGATGTCTCCTTGTTCTTTCATCTCATCATCGCTGGTACATTCTTCATATGTCCTCATATTATCCTAACGATGGCGCTGATACAGATTGTAGAGGAGTTGGAGATCAGTGAGGTTGTGGTGCTTGAGAAGTTTAGCTTTAATAGGGAATTTTACCTTCGGATGTCTTGGTTGAGGGAAAGCTACGAGGAGCACGTGACATCATATAGGTATGAGGTTGCCGCTAGGGCGTACATGCTACATCTAATGGTATGTACTCTCTTTACGGATAAGTCTGGTGTTTAATTGATGGCTGATACTTGTCGTTGCTCAGTAACCTAGACACTCTATGTTGGGCTTGGGAGTGTCGATGTTAACCATGTTGTACACGACACTTGGAGTTGTTTCCCATCCTGAGACCAGACATCTAGTTGGTTATTTGAGCCTATTATAGGTATATTAGCGTTTCTTTGTTGGTTTTAATCAGTTTTGTTGGATGACATATTAATCAGTTTTTATTTATTCAGTGATGGATATACGAGCATTTCCCCCATATTTGTGATAAGATACAGCAATGTGTCCCAGTGAGTGCTTCACGGGCGAGGAGATGGAAAGGCGAGCAAGTGGCTCATAATGGTGTTATAAAGTACAGTATGAGGCTTGTCACTCTGATAGTTGATGATGTCATCTGGACACCGTGTACAGCTCATCGGGCCTATCGTCCATTTGACGATGCTTCCTTGTATTTAGGGTATATGAGATGGGAGAACCACATGGCTAGACATTTGCCAGAGATGTGTCTGTAACAGTATGGTTATATTTAGGGCATCCATCGTCCAGTTTCAGAGGCTCCACCTGGTGGCATTAGCATATGGTTTCAAAGTCACGTCATCAACTCTGCCCGTGACATCAGGGATAACGTAATTATGATTTAATACCTTTCACGGTACAATAATGGTTACTTTGAGTGATATCACAGTATATCACACTCTCGCTTCATACCACCGGCTGCATGGTCTTCTGATGCTTCAGGGTCATCTGGTGTTAGGGTTTCTGATGTTGAGGTACAGACTGACAACGTGCCACCACCACCTTCAATTGTCGTAGGTGACCAGGATAGTCGCCTCTAGTTGATTGTAGTTATTATGGATAACCTTATGATTTTGGTAAACCCTAATGGTGAGGTTTTTACAAGTCTATCTAAGCTAGCAGACATAGCTCGTGGGGGGGCCTATTTAGATTTTGTTTTCCTTGTATTATATGTATATTTTGTGACACATACTTCTTATCATGGTACTTATTTAATGTGTAGTATTTTGGCAATTACATGTTTTGATTTGAAGAAAAACATAACATAAAGCAGTACAACAAACATAAATTAAAAATAACTAACCAGGAAAATTTAGGTACTACGTTTCAGCATATTTATCATGTCATCAAAGGATCTTATTATCTGCACATCTAACTCGATTGGACCCCAAGTTATTCTACGGCAAAATTATTTCCACGTGGCATTCATATCTTCGTCAGTCTTTAACTCAATCAGGTTGTATTTCACCATTCCATTTATATCAATCCAATCTTCCCAAACTTTATCTTTCTCACCCTTATGTTATCGATATCAGAAAGCAATTCATTCAACTTGTCTTTCAAGTTGGCGAGGGATGTGGTGCCATCTGGGAGCTTGAATTCAATAGGAGGGTTATTTTCGTTGAAATACATTTCCACCTTGTTGTACCCCAAAATTTACCCTCCCATATTTCTCAAAACATTTCAAGAAAGATCCCCAAGTTGCTCAAGGTAGTCCAAGGGTTGGCCAGACAAGCTCTCTCCTAAGACAGTCTACCTCAAATTAGGGTTTCATGTTGCATCAAGATACTTGAGTCCAAGGGACCCTAAATGCTCAACATTGTCCTAATATGTTCTCAAGATCATCCATGTCAAGTTTCAAGCCTTGTAGAGGAAGTTTGCTCAGTCAATTGCTCAAAGGCCTAAAAATCGACTATGCTAGGGCAAAAGTCAATTGTGGCCCACATACAGTCAAACTTCAAGATTTTTGGTCAACATCCTCATTTTGAAGTATATTTCATCATTTGATTAAGGGTTGATCATGATTCATCAAGGATTGCTCATAATTCATCAAGACTCAAAAGTTGCTAAATTAGGGTTTTGTAGGAAAAGTCAACTCAACTTTGACCAAGCATAACTTTCTCATACTTTATGATAAATGACCCATCCAAAGCTCATTTTGAATAGGATGAAATCCCCTACAATCCATATTCAGCTCCCAAGTTCAAAATATGCACTCACAAGAAGTTATGAATTTGGACATTATAGGTCATTTTGGAAAGTCAACAAAAACACATTTTGGGTCAAAGCTT